AACTTATATTAAAGTTTTTCTTCATTACCCATTTAAGCCGTCTCCAGCCATTAAAAGAAATAACTGTCTCGTATAATATATTTATTTAATAACACAGAGAAAGAAGCTGTTGAATGTTCCAATGACAACATGTAAAATTTAATCCAGTCCAAGTTTTAACACAAAACTATCACACGGGCTTAGGTCGGCCATTTTAATACCTCATGTACTCAGAGGATTGAGCTTAAAACTGGACATCGTGGACATGGAAATATATCGTAAACAATTTTTCTATCATTTTTACGGCTGCTTCACATTCTAGAGCTTAGAAGGAAAGATGAGATTGCTCATTTAATCTACAGTCGGATAAAGGATACTTTTATACGATGTATTGAACTGTCTTACTACGCAAACAAACCTACATACAAACGATTTACTCAACTACGTGCTATCAAAGCCAGCTTCAAATTTTAGTCACAAGTTTACACTTGGAAATATTGTACACAGTAAATAGTGGAATCAAAATGATAACACAGACCTGCGATGGTTTTATTGTCTTGAAATGTTTACATGTTCTACAGTAATTCTTGTATGCTGAATCCGAAAATGACATCCATCTTTCTCCAACACGTACAGATTTTTCACAAAACGTCATAATGTAATACATAAGAGAAAGACCACAACACGTAGTTTTGAGACTAAAAGACGTAGATATCACACAAAAGTCAGGAGGAATGAGGATGCATATTAGTTTGACATCAATGTTCTTTCCTTTTCTGCAGTTTATTTATATTTTTGTTAACAAACAATAATAAAAAATTTTCATTGTGGTAAATGAAATAATAATTTGATCTAAATAAAAGTTTTTCTTCCCAATTTGTAAAAAATCCTTACATGATAGAAAAAAATGAATATTATTTTCGAAATCTGCGTAGCTGAATTATGGAAAATCCCTTATTAAAACCAAAACAACTTTTATGTAGTTTAAATTCGTAGGCCTGTGTAATTAAAGAGGCCAACATTCGCTGGTGAATGTAACATGTTTCCGCCACGCAATCCCAACATGGCCAATTTTGACACCAGAAAAATCTAAAACTGTTTATATCCACTGTTTGGAACCTGAAAAACAAAAGTATCTTTGTGCCAAATCCCATGCAAGTTGCTTAATATACACATAAATAATTCACGAAAACCCTAAATTGTATTTTCCTTGCTAAAAACTGAACAAAAGGCAAAACTTCTTAAATTATTTATATTTCTGTTCGGAACCTGCAAAGAATATCTTTGTACCAAATTCCATGTAAATTGGTCGAAACAAGGCTAAGTAATTGGTCAAAACCCCTAAAATGGTGGGCTTATTTAACCTTTTGACCCCCTAAAATGATCAAAAATGGGTATATCCCACATTTTTGTATGTATATGTATGTAACCTGCGAAATAGTAAATTGTACCAAATACCATGTAAATTGATCAAATATGGCCGAGTGATTGACCAAAAACCCTCCAAGTTACGCTTTTTTGTTAGTTCTGACGCTCCCCTAAAACGATTCAAAATGGGTAAATCCAACTTTTTATATGTTAATGTGTTGGGCGGATAAAACTTATACTTATGCCAATTTTCATCATGATTGCTGCAACTGTGACCGCACAGGACCCCAGAATATACATTTTTAGGTTATTTGACTTCCCACCCCCCATAAAATCCTTAAAATGGCCTAAATCAAGAAAATGAAAAATTTTTTAAGCGTATTAGACCAAGATATAAACCTACCAACTTTAAAATGGAGAAATAGTGGTCGATTGAAAAGTGCTTGGAAGAAGAAGAAGAAACAATAGAGGAGAGAACAATATATAAAACAATAATCTGAACCAAGATATTTCTATTGTTTGAATTCAGTGGGGAAGACAACAATATATGAAACAATAATCCGAACCAACATATTCCCACTGAATTCAACTGTGTGCATGGTAATTGCCTTTGGATAATATACAAAAAAAAAGCATCCTGAACTTGTTTAGCCTGCAAATATATTTTACAACTTAACAGAAAAAAATATTCCTGATCCAGCTAGTCGAAGCTGTATTAGACAACTTCATTGAAAAATAGTAAAACGCTAATGCTTTCGACAAGTGGATCTGTCTTCTTAATGTTTAAAAGCATGCTTATCTGTTGAAAGCGCTAGGATTTTAACGTTGTTTTTATTCGTAATGTGATTAGTCAACCTTTTTGATCCTATCATGAACATTGTATACAAGGTACTGCATGCGTTGGATGTGGAATATTATAATTAATAAAATTGTTATTTCCTATATTAATCCTATTTATTTAATTGTTCTTTTAGTGTGCGTGCGGAGTTATTATGTGTTTAATGAACTTTTTTCTTTCCTCGTACTTTTCGAGATTTTACTTGCACAAAAGTGGAAGATTTGTACTCTCAAGTGGAAGAAAAAGGATTCTAACAATATATATATACGTATTTATTTAATTATGCTAGATTTTGATCCTAAACAAATATATCTATTATTAATGAGTTGATTTCACTTGAAATTATTCCCCAGTTAAGAACGAATTAAATGTGAGATCAATTTTCATCACTAAGCTCACTTTTCTTGAAACATAAATTCAATTTTTAAATACCTTACCAATGTAGAAGACTTTAACGGATTTGGATAATCTCTTTATTTGTCAATATCAGATAAAAAAAGAACTAAAGCAATGTGTGTCTTTACACAGTATGAATACTGTTGATTCGTACTTTCTGTTTTTTCTTGTTTTGTTATTCTGCGACTTGTACTTAACAAAAAAGTTGCTGTTAAGCCTTCTTCATTTCGAATTGTTGCAGAGATATACCTTTTTGTGGTTTTCTCTCAGCTAAAACTCGTTTGAACTAAATCGGTTAACACCTAGGTATGAGAAGTTGTAGCTGAAATCCTTTAATCCTCGATCGTTACCATGCTAAAGGTAAAAAAAAAAAAACGGCAAATTTTTAAAGACCCCGAACGTCAGGAACTGGCCGTGAGAAACGATTGTGTTTTAATCTTCCCCGTCCTTCCCATCTGTCCAAGGCCTTTGTACCTATGACCAAACAAAATTATTTCTTTACGCAGAAAAACGTACTCGCTGAAAACACGTAAACGTCATTAATTGCCCATCTTGTAGAAGTTTTTTTTTCTTCTTGTGATTGGCCACCAGCGCCTACAGCGAAGAGTGACGACGAAAGTCTCGTCATATACGGGCTTTCTTGCATGATTGAAGCTCAGTGAATCTATACATTCGGGCTGAAGTCCACGCTCCTGGGGACCAACCACTGGGACAGGAGGCTAACCTGCAGCTCGAACGTCGCTGCTGGTGGCATTTACTGTTTTAAGGTCAATTCTCATTGGCTGATTTTGGTCAGAAAGGAGGGAATCTTCCATAACTCAGCGAGTGAACACAGCGGGTTGTATAACAATCTACTTGGGTTGTCGCTTTAGGGAGAATTCCCAGATTGATTTTGGTGCTATCATAATAAATTATATCCACCACAGTCGATCATAATTTTGCCACCGCCAGGCATATGTTTTGTCTTGAACATTCCACTAATGATACCTAGGGTGGTAGTAGAGGGGGCGTTCAAAGAAAAGGGGTAGTAAAGCTCAAACAAAAGTAGGAGGTGCGAATTTAGACGTGAATCAACATCAGAGATCCTGGTCTCGTGAATGGCACGCTCTGTAGGGTGTAAATTCGAATATGCTTATTGTTAGATACAAATAATTAACCCAGACACTGAAGAATGACTCCCCTCTTTTTCAAACAAAAGCTTAACAGGCAAGAGAAATAAAAAAGGAATTGCCAAAAATATATATATTCTCCTACTAGAAACTTCAGCTCGTCTTAAAACCCAGTAGAATGAAAACATAGAGCCTTCTGATTGTCTTCATACACTCTCGCAGGATATGGAACACAGTATCTGAAGGTCTTCCTCAGTGTGAGTGGTGAGTTCGAAGGAAGTTTTCTTGGATTTCTACTTCCACGGTAGGACTTACTTTGTTTAACTTCTGGGAAAAAAAACCTGAAAGGCCAAGTTGCCTTCACCTTCATTTTTTTTATCTTTCATAATAAATGGTGCTTTTTTCAAGGTAAGAAAAAATAAATATCCAGAAATGATATACTATTGTCTTGTAAAAAATCCTTACATACTAAGTCTACGTACCAGGTCAGTTAAAAACATGGTTAAACATTAAAAAACATTGGGTACTCTCATCAAGGTAGTCTTTAGAGGACCGTTATGTTGCGTCGCTAATTTTTTTTTTCTATATCGAAAATATTTTCTTGTTTATCATAAAATCTGTGATCCATTTCTAAACCCTGCTGTGCGTGAATTTATAAGTCAAGTTATTATGGAGCTTACGCAAACCTTAGGATGTCATATAACTGTGAATATAATATTTTATCATAATTCATGGTGTTAGGAAAACACGTAGGTTCAAGAAGTCCTGATATGAACCTTGCTTCCACCTTTCGAAAGCGCTCGGGTTATAGGTTTTTTATTCATTTCTATATTTTATCACAATATAGCAAACTAAATGCAAATCAAGTCTCCGATTTTTGATATATTAGCTATCGTTCCTTTTATTGTTTGTTTGTTTGTAATTAAGCACAAAGTTACACAATGGGCTATCTGTGCTCTGCCCACTACGGGTATTGAAACCCGGATTATAGCATTGTAAGTCCGCAGACATACCGCTGTGTCACTGGGGTGGGGGGCTGTTCCTTTTATGTCGAGGCCTGGCGTCTCCTAATGATTAGCTTATCCGGAGTTTTCATAGTTCACGTCTCATTATCACAAAAAACGCGCTCCGCACTTTGGGACTGTGGGTACGGTATAAAAGTGACAGTCAAATCCTACTATTCTGCGGGTGAACACATAAAAATTGGTATAACATAGTATTAGGATTTGGCGATGGGTGCTGTTGACTAGTTGTCGTCCCTCTAGTCTATCAGTTTAAAATTATGCGTAAATCCCTTTGTGTAAGTTTGGGCAAAAATTCTAAGATAAATATAAAAGGAATTGTGTGAGAAAATAAAATAACGAACACTATATTTCCACGTAATCAAATATATAATATTTTAACATGTTGTGAATTTTTTCTGCACTTAAAACAAGAGTACACAGTTTGATTGATCCTTTAACTTATTGTATATAGCCAGCTTGATTTGATCAGAAGTTAATATTAACTACAACAATACAAATTCTACTTCGCAACATTTCCATTAAATAAAACAAACAAACCAATAGAGTCACTAACCGAGATCTTAATATTTAGTTCTCAAATGACCATCTATTGCATCATATTTCACAATATTATATTTCTGCTTTTCACAACACACAGTGTCAAGAACCGATTGAAAAAATATTTTGTGAAATTACTAAATTTCTGTGTAAAATACATAGGGAACACTAGTCGCAATTAGTGGGACTAATTAGAATACTGACGGAATGTTTGGTTAAAGCATTTTTTGTGACTCGTATGCTGTTAAGAATCCTGTAACCAACAAAGTTATGAACTCACAAGGAATCTTGTGAATAAATAGTTTAAGAAAATATGTTTAAAAATTCAATACAGACAACACCGATAATTCTAGGATTTACTAGCGCACTAAATGTATTTTAACTGATCATCATTGTTATAAGTGCTAAAAATACCTCTAGATGTATCTTATTTCGCGATCACTCAGAATTGTTTTCAGTATTTTATGATTTATATTTTGTACAGAGACAGGAATTTTAACTTTTGTAATTAATATTTAAAGATGAGTTTGCTGCTACACAATGGGCTATGTGTGTTATGCCCACCTTGGGCATAGAAACCCGATTTTTAAACTTGTAAGCACGCAAACTTACCGCTGAACAACTGTAGGAATTTAAAGATTTGTTAAAAATCTTTTAAGTTAAAGTTTATCAACATTTATTATGTGTTTAATGTGGTATTTGTTCATTTGATTATGTATTACTTTCTACAGCACTGCATAAACTTTAATGGTTCAAACTACGAAACATTAGTTAACGTAGTAGCTAAACTATCAGTAAGTATTAACATTGAACAGTGAAAGATTTACCGATCTTTTTTACTATGACGGGGAGTCAACATGTCCTTCCTGGTCATTAAAAATTTTACTAATTTGAAGTTCCGTCTTTGTAAGTTTGAAGATTGAAGAAAATAGTTAAGTTAGAGAATTTACATGGATTTCCTTTTATAAAACTATCTTGATAATAGACCAATGTGTCAAAAGCAAAGTATTGAACAATAAATTCGATGCTAAGAAATAAATATCATCTTAAAACATCCCAAGTTTTGTCGATAAGATTGTCTATAAAACAAAACAAAAACTTTACTATATAAAATATATATAGTGATAACAGAGTTTTTTAAGTATTTGAATACAACTATAGATAAGAAAATTATCACCCATTATATTGTGTTTGTTTAAAACTTTGAAATCTATCACAGTGAAAATGGTTTTACGCCTTCTACGAAGCTGAAATTGAGGAAAATCATCAACACTCCTGGTGGCCTGGCATGGCCAGGTGGTTACGGTGCTCGACTCGCAATCTGCGGGTCCGGGTTCAAATCCCCGTCACACCAAACATGCTCGCCGTTTCAGCCGTGGGGGCGTTATAATGTGACGGAGATGACTTCCCTGTAGTCTTACACTGCCAAATTAGGGACGTCTAGCGCAGATATTCCTCGTGTAGCTTTGCGCGAAATTCAAAAACAAACACTCCTGGTACAAACAACTATAGACATATCGAGATTTTTTTGTTTTATTTCATAAGATGTATGGAATATTTAATTAACCGTGTTTATCATAAAACAAAATAGATGAGGTCGCTTGTATAGACATTCACGTTTCTTACTGTCTGCTCAGTTGTAAATCTCAGGACTTACAACGCTCAAAATCGGGTTTCGATACCTGTTGATGATATTCCATTGAAGAGATTGGTGCTTAACTAAAAGTTAACGTTTCTAACTGTCTACTGCAGACTTTACCAGAATTAAGTTAACGTTTCTAACTGTCTACTGCAGAGTTTAACAGAATTAAAAACATTTCCAAGTCACCAACATTTGAATTTGTCAATTGTGCTGTTTGTATATTATGTCAGTTATGAATACGACAAATGGGTTTGCTACTCTCACTATATAATTTTAAGTTAAGATTGTTTTTCAATTGATTAGCTTTTTTCTATGGTCTTCATTTGGTTGGATATTTTCTGATCTGTATATCAATGAGATTTTATAAACATGAACCCCAACGTTGCCCAATGGAGATGCCAGTTAATATTATTAGTTGTCCATTGTAGATTAAAATTTAGTAGTTGTTTAATGTAGTCAAAAGATTAATGTGTTAGTCACTCTTTATGGATGACAGTTATAGAATAATTGTTTGTCGTATGTTGTAGACGACTGCTTTATTATTTAATCTTCCTCATAGATAGAAGATGAATTTGTTAGTACTGCAGTGTAAGGTACACGTTGAGATTTTTAGTTCTCGAGTTGAATTTGTTAGAATATAGTTAAGAAAGTCGATTTTCGCGAAGGAACGATGATTAAGAAATTCACGTTCCATCTAAAATGGACAACTGCCAATTCAGAAGGAAGTTATAGCTGCTGTCATAAGTCGTCGGTTCAACTTGATATATGTCTAATGTAGTCGTTAAATCAATTTGGTAATAGTGTAACGTAAATATGTAGACATTACCTGAGTTTGTTATTCGTCTAAAACGTATGTATACATTATTTGTTTGTTATCTAATCTAGATGTTTGAAGGGTCTGGTAAATATCTAATATATTAGGTCGTCAAGAAATTAATGTCGCTTTTTTTAGATAAAAAAAAACCGAACAACTTATATGTCAAAACAAAACATTTATTAAATGAAATAGTCTCCATTCTTATCGATGACGCATTTCCATCTTACAGTCAGGTTGTTAATGCTCTGATTAAAGAAATCACTTGGCCTTGAAGCAAAAAACATGTCGATGTCCTCTTTAACACCTTCTACATTTGCATACGTTTACCCATTAAGATGGTGTTGCAAGGAATGAAAGAGATGGTAATCTGATGGTGCCATATCTGGAGAATATGGTGGGTGGGGAAGAACTTTCCAACCCAACACCATAATCCTGTGTTGTGTCAAACGTACCACGTGTGGACGTACATTGTCGTGGAGAAGAACACCTTTCCGATTGACGAGTGAATGGCGTTTCTGATGAAGAGCTTGA